TTGATATAGTTGCTTGTTGTATGAGGCATGGGCTGTGTATGCGCTTCATGCTGTTGAGCAGTTTTTTGACAGCTAAAAATCAAATCTCTGATGGAGAGGGCAAGATAAGCAACATGACTGCTGCACCATAATTGAAATTTTGGCTTTTAAGAAAAGGAGGCATTTCAAGGAAAGAGGCATTTCAGTCACTCATTTGCACAACCAAGTCTAAAATCCACAGTCATTAAATTATTACAACATTTTAAATACTTTGTAAACAGAGAGCAGGAGTATCTATACAAAATAATCCCAAATCAGAGGATGCAGAGGCCAGACATGCAATATGCAGACTCAGAAACACCTAATACTTCCAGCATGTAGTTAAACGCTCTCCTGAGTTAAGGTCTGCACAGACCTGGCAGTCTTGTGATGTACCTTCACTGTCCATTTTCAGGGAACAGTTTAAAAGCATTTGGACTCTCTGTTTTGGTGGAGACATCAGGAACCTCAACCCAATACCCTGCTTCTTGACAAGTTTCCCTGCAAGATCCTGTACCAGTTACTTAGAGAATGGGAGTGCAGAGAAGATCAGCTTATTCATGAAGTGGAAACACCTGCCTACCCATCTTATTTATACTTAACATCTCCCTTAGTAATACAGTTGTGACAGGACCAAAATAAAACAACAATAACAAAAAATATAATTTAGCAGCATGAAAAAAGCTCTTCCAAATCTCCTGTTCCCCAAGAAGAGTATAAACATTAGCATTCAGGATAACACTGCTTTAGATGTGGAAGCTCTGATCCTAAGGATGCATTGAGAATAAAGCAGCCACTGTTACTCAAAGGAAAATGTAGCAGATAAATAAATACTTCCTACATTAAAAAGTTATTTCTGGATTGACATACTAAGAACCGATCCAGGATCAGTTGGGAAAAAACACCACCACAGAAAACCCTTCAAAGACTGACTCACATCCTTTGATATTCTGGTTGCATTATGGTGGTAGGTGATAGGTGATGGACTACCATGAACACAAGTTAAATATTTTCAGAAGAAAAAATAAATTTCATGCTGCAAGACCACAAAGTGTTGAAATTCATTTCAAATAAGAGATGTATAGGTAACTTTTCCAGCTGATTATCTACTCTACTACTGATAGCTTAAATTACTATTTTGTGCAAAAATGAGCAGCATCCAAAGAATTACTTGAGAATAAAGATGAATACATTATTTGAAATATTAGAACTACTATACTTGGAAGTTACCCACATAACATTCCTTAATACACAACAAGTTTTGTCTGTGTGGTAACAGGTATTTGGAAGAACCACCTAAAACCAGCATTACTGTCAAACCTCATTGTGGTCCGTCAGTATTCATGCTGCTATCATATTTTTCACTGTAATGATTAATGTCACTCACTTAAAATACAAAGATACTACTTACTTGGTTCCAACTTCTTCAGATCCTCAAGCTTAAATTCATCCTGTGACTGGGTGGACTAGGACATTACAAAGACAGAGTTAGAACTTAGGATGCACCTTCCTCTCAGACAGACCTACCATATCTTAGAATAAGCTTGCAAGGTGCTTCCTTTGTTCAAGCATATCAAGTTACTTCACAGCTATGTCCTAAAAAAAACCCAAACAAAATCTCCCCAACAGAAGCCTGATTCACAGATAAGGTGGAAAGTACATTACTTCTCTTTTATTGAGAACAAACTTATCCCATGTTCCAAGCTCTAATACAAGATAAATATTTTTAAAGCAACTAGTTGGTCTTTCACATTTACTATGCACAGGAACATTGAGACAGAGGGACTTGTTTTAATTCTTCCCCATTCAAGTTGTTCTGAAGCAAGATCAGCTGTAAGACTGCACTGCAGTGATGCTCCAACATGAGCATTCACAGCTTAAGACACACATCCAATTTAGTAACACTGACAGAAATTACAGTATTACAGGATGGGCTTGACAATACACTCAGCTAAGAGCTCACTGCAAATGGAAGAGGGATTCCCATCTCTCCTCTCTCCACCTCTGATGCTGCAGTTTCCTCATCTGGCTGTAGCACAGGTCTGCTTCTCAGAATGCCTATTCTTTGTTCTGAGGCAGTTCGCTGACAGTTTGGCAAGCTGAACTAGCCTATTCCGAGCTGACAAGTGGCAGAGCTGGCATTAAGAAAGTGCTGCAAATCAGGACTGACACGGGACACCCTCTTTTAGGCAGAGGATCAGGTTTTACCGACTGTGTTATTGCACCCTTGGCATCTCTTAAGCTTACTCATTTCTTTAAGACCCAGTAGGTGTTTTTTTTTTTTCTTTTGATTTCTGCAAGACTACAGAAGGATAGTAAAGCAGCTATACCCATAAGAAGAATGGGAAAAGATGACCACACTCACTAATGGCTTTAATCTCTGATAAGAAACCATAACAAAACTGCAGCAAGTAAAACACTCCCCAAAGTGAAGTGGATGAGAAGTTCTAGCACCCTCACATGAGGTTATAAAATCCTTGAGTTACTGCTGAGGAACCAACAGCAAGGAAGACTGTTCTTGTAAGACATCACCTCTTTAGTTTGGCATGTTATGACACTGCTGCATCTTCTGCTGTTGCTCTGAGACATGACCTGACCCATATGAAGCTGTCCCACAATGGAACATGCCTGCCCTGGTCACAAAGTCATGGGGCCTCAGAACAAGTGCAATGCTATTCAAGCACTCCAGATTAGATCAAAATAGAAAGACAGGCAGAGCTAACCAAATAGTTCTTCAAATGCTGCACAGCCTCCAGACTGGTCAGCCCCTACCTCATTAGTCCAGCTCCAGCACACTGCCTAAGTTGTCACCGTATCCCAGCCTCTCAGACAATTGAAGGCAGCACAATGGAGCTGCTGCACCTTGTACAGCAACACAAAGTACTCGGGAGGGCTGCTGTGAGTAATTTGATGCAAAATTTACTTGTTACCACTCTTTGTTGGTAAAGAGGTAATCCAGTAAACCAATCGTTGGTTCAGTTGATTCATCCCTCCCCATCCATACTCTTTTGGAAATTTCTTTTACTTTGTTTTGGGGATCAGATTGTGCTGACAGAAAAAAGAAATTCACTTCCATGACACCTACCTTCAGCCCAGAAAAAAGCCCAAAGATTAGCTTCTAAATCATCATTTTCACACACTTGCTGTACTGGCAGTTTTCATGACTGCTACAAAGTCATTTTTATTCTACACATACATTCTTCCTTGTGCTTTATTATGATTTGTGAAGTGGTTGAATTAGTGCAAGGGCCACTCCAGGGATCTTTTTACCCTTGCACACAGGTTAGGAAGACAAACTAATCAGTTCTGAAGAAGGAAAATGAGGCAAAGAACCAAAGACACAAAACCTGCAGTCAAATTCCTATACAAACCCTAATACATGCTTGTATGAGCACTTAAAAGTTTTTAAGGCAGCCACCTGGGGCATCATGTTGACAGCCTGGGAAGTCCAAGTGTTCCAAGGGTTTTTTCACTCTGTTTTCAGAAGTTTTGGCTATGTCTGAAGACACTAAAGGAGCTTTAAAAAGCTCTACAGTTACCTATCACTGAAGTATGAAGTCACATAAGAAAAATACACACCTGTAAAGCTGCACTTCTCAGTTCCAAGCATGTTGCAATTTTAGCTATGGTTTTCTGAAAGGAAAAAAAAAATAAATTACTTAATTTAGTACTGAAACTATATTCTTCCATATTCACTTTTAAAAAATATAAATATGAGCAATTTCTTTTTTCTTGCAAATATTTCAGATCCATTATTCAGTAAGAGATCATTCAGCATCAAAAGCTTTTTTATACACAAACAAGATTTTCTGAAATCACAATAGATGAAACAGACATCTGCCACTTCACTCCCTTCCCACAGCTCATCAACACAGATGGGGGTCATTCACTCAGCAGAAACTGTAATAATGCTTACCACATCCTAAATTGTTTATAAACTCAACTGCTCTGAAGTGATAGCAGAGAGAAAGAAAAAAAAATCCAAACCAACCAGTATATTACCTTCTGAGAACTTGAGTGGGTTGTTCTAATTTGCCCGTTTAGGAGTCATGTCTACAGTTTCTCTATTGGGCTTACGATCTCAGCAGACCAAGTCAGCCCTCAGAAGTTACAGAAGCCCAGTATCTCAGCACTGAAAAAAAATGCTTTCTGCTTTTGTGGGTTTTGGTGGGAGAGGAAGTATAAAGGCAAATTGTTTTTTTAACTTTCTGTTTTTGTAATTTTAAGACCATTAAACTCTGAGCAAAGCATGAAATAGATTCTTTGATTCAAACTTGTTAGTTAGCTAAAACATCCCAGAGCAGAACTGTGAAACAATTTCTCATTTTTACTCAAATGTAGAATAGGGGGAGGGGCTTCAAAATAGTTCATTGATAGCAGTCTTACTTTGAAGATAGTGCTACTTAAGCTTTTATGTCTCACAAAATAAGAAGCTCAACCAATACTCACATTTCCTACCAGCTGAAAAAAAAAAAAAAAATCAAGAGGAATTCAGATTTCCATAACTGACATCAAGTGGACACAACTTCACAGTATATTTTACTTTGCTTAACCTTTTTAGTAAAGAAAAATTAAGTCTATCTACAGAGATAAGGAGCAAATATAATTCCAAAAGCTCTATGGAACATTTATAAGGCAAGAAAAACAGCAACAATAAAGCCATAAAGAAAAGCGTTTTATTTTCAAAGTAATTTTCCCCCTTTTTTCAAAGTTGAAATACGCACCTGTAACTCATTCTCTCCTTTTAAATCAAGCAGTATAAAAACAGCTCCCCCTCAAGCTGGATGCAAGGGGAGGAAAAGATTTCCTAAAGCACAACTCTAGCATCAAAGAAGTTAAATAGTACGGGCATTTGGCAGGTTATACAGTATCAGCTAAAAGACAAAAACTTCCCTTTACAGGAGGGTTACATTTTAGGGCTCCAAGAGGTTTGTAGCAGTGGACAAAAACTAGGCATGCTTTCACAGCTACCTTCCCCAGTCATCTGCCCTGACTCTCCTGCAAAGACATGTCAGAGCTCCTTCTCAATCAGCTCCTGGGCCACCACTAGTTTCAAGAGGCTGGGCTGAAAGCTAAGTGACTCCAGTTTCAGTTCACCTTCCACCACACTGAAAGTTGAAAGAGTTCAGGAGCTAAATCATAAGCAGATTAGGCATCAATATCTCAAGGGCAGAGCCAACAGCTGGAGTGTGTAAAAACCTCAGATACCCAATTTTCATCTGCCACCACAGGCTCAAAGCTTTCAAAGCTATTTCTCCACAAATAGTAAGTATCTCCTCTCGTCTTACACACCCTTTTACACGGCACTAGCCCCGACTTTACATCCTCGTAGTTTATATTACTGTCCATTGTATGAAGGTCTTATAAAAAATTCAGTTCTTTTGAGCACCTTCCAGGAAAGAAGCAAGTGATGAATATTAGAGCAGGACACACACTGTTTTCCCCTCTGCCTAGGATGCAGCATGTGTAGCAGTGTGCTGTTTGTGAATTTTAATGTAGAGCGATATGACTGTATGCTTGCATGCAACATCGCAGAGTAAAAATATTACAGCTCCATTTCTGTGGAGGTTCATTTTCTTGTCTAGGTTCAGTCAACAAACTTCTACTTCCCCAGAATAATTCTGGTACATAACAGAGATCCCTAGCTGTATCTCCAGCATGGCTTGGAAAAACAGATTTTTGAAAAAGAATGGCATACGTACATGTCTGGATTCATTTTGACACTTTCAGACCCAGACTCCACATGCAGGTGTTGCGGAGTTACATGTACTTTCAGGCTGGATGGAAGGACACCAGGTACTACTACAGAAGCAGATTCTCAGCCCCTAGGGTGAGAATGCACTGCATCTAAACTGCTGCAGTATAACAAAAGGAATTCCCTTTTTATCTTTGAGAACATGTGAAAAGAAACATTTGCAAAGGTAGAATCTTAAAGAGGAAGGTGTGAAGTAATGGGTAAAAGAAAGGAATCCAGAGGTTCCCTAGGGAAGGGAGGGGAAATCTCTGAGGTTTGAGTACAGCTCTAACATTTGCAGAAACCCAGCTGTCTTGACTGCTGAGCAAAGAGTATGGCCATTCCGTGTTAGATCAAAACCCCTCCAACTGCACCACAGAAAGAGGGCTACAAATTCACGGGGTGCCAGCACACAGTCTCTGTGCCCCACCACAGAATCAGAACATGTAAACAGATTTTCATACGGCTCTTCCCCTCCTGGTCTCGCATGCAGAGCATTAAGCCCACACTGTAAATGAGGTCTCAAAGCCCTGCTCAACTCGTCTCCTTTGTCAATTCACTGACAAGCTCAGCAACACCCGTTTCCAATCCTGCAGATTTGTAACTATGCATTCTTAAAACTGCCTGAACTCAGTACCTCCTAACAGGGCAAACACCAATACAAAACATGTGTCCTCTGGCTCCTGGGGGCTGAAGGGCAATAACGTCTCTAGAAATAGATTAATTGAAGAGAGTTCAGGAGTCTTAAAATAGTAAAGAATAGGTTTTATATGGAATCTATTGAAATATGGCAAGCTCCCAGCAGGCATTATTCATAACTATTTTTTTAAGGGACCACACCCAACCCAAAAGTTAAAAATGCAGCTAAACACTGCTATCATTTTCAGCTGCAACTATCCCATGCAAAGGCTCCTTTTTGCAGCAGGGAAAACATTTCTCATTAGAAAGACTGAAGCCATTATTAACTTTGCTAGTTTAAAATAGTTAAGATTCAGTTTTATGTAAACTTGTGATTAGAAAGGGAAAAAGTCCGTTGATCTCGTAGTCAAGGTTTCTTCAGTGCAGTTGTGTGAGTAATGACTGTGCTAACTGTAATGCAGTCAAAGATGTTTGCACAAATACAGAGCCAGAGCAGAGTTTGGCTTTAAAGAGAGGTCTAGGCTGTTAGGAGACCAGTAGTTTAATGAATCATGCTAAGACTGTTCAACGGTGCTCTTATTTCAGCAAGTTACTGTTGCATAAAAAGCATGATTTTCTAATACTGCAGAAAACTCAGCCTAGCACAAAAACAGTTACACGAGAAGGAACAACTGTGGTTAGAAGAGGGCTTTAAAGGTCAAATTTATTGCATAGAGAACTGGGTGAGAATAACTACAACTGGAGGCAAGCTGACAACCACGGCCAAACTGAACTGGAACAATTCATGTAACAAAACACAGTGGATGATCATGAATGAAGATGGGATTTTTAGAGAATTAAGGTAAAATAAAGAACAGCAGGATGCTAGATGTTAAGACTGAGGTAAACCCACCAGTAACTGTATCTGTTAATATTCCATACATGCAGCTTCTAGGTGATGAATTTGTTGCACAGCCTCCTTAAACCTCTTGCAGTGTGACTAAACACAATGATTTGTTGTTTACAGTATTTATCTGCACAGAAATTCTTCAACAAAATTCACAATCATTAATGAAGATTCCAGCGCTGTCAATTATCCAAGTCAAGAGAGCGCCTTCCCTAAGGACTAAAACTCCAGAATTATGTCCAGTGGTAGATATAAAACAACCACCCCCTAGAAGATGAAAATCCAAGAATGAACGGAAAATTCTGGAGACTGATCTGCTCTGTAAAGGGCAGTAGCATACCGTGTTTCAAAACAGACTCTTCAGATCATGAGTAAAAAGGCAAGATGTGAAAGTATGAATTCTTGCCATAAACAATACATTTATTATAAGACAGATGATAACTAGCTGACAGTATGTCTAGGAAATAAATCAGTGGTATCTGACAAGTGTTGTTAGATTAACAGATTGTATGATTACATTAGCAAGTAACACACCATCAATTATGGTGTGGCCATATCTGTAGTGTTAACACCACCTGTGATACATGAAATAAACCCAAACACGGCAAAAGTTTAAAGAGACAGATGGGGTTGAGGATTTGAACCTAGCCTTGTCCTTTCCCTGTAGCTGTAACCTAGTAGTTTTCCCTTGGTACAGAGAAATCACTGCTGAAATCCATCTTCCCTACCGAGTTCATCAAATAAGAAACAATGACAGTCATAGTAATTCTCAGCAGTATGTACGGTCCTTTGGAGAACAGCTAACTGTAAATCTACACAAAGCCTGGAATGAGGGTAGATTAAGCAACTGGAAGTCATAATTAGCTTCACAGCCTTGCCTTCTACAATCTAGGAAATGTTGTGCACAGCCTTGGCCAGTAATGTCAGATAAGGAAACCCTGAAGTTTACACACTGTTCTACATTAAAAAAAACACAGAGATGGCTCTTATATTATACACAGAACCTCAGAAAGACAAGATACTAGGGAAA